AAAAAAAAAAAACAACCCAAAAAATCGAAAACAGGAGAAAGCTCAAAAAGAGCCCAACTAAAAATTAAGTCTCATGCAGTCAAAAGCCCACAAATAAAAATGAGTTTTACGGACAGTTTTCAAGATGGGCAGAGAGAGGGCTGGTCCAACGCTCATTCTAAAGAGAGGGAGCGGCAATGGAAAAGGCTCCGTCCCTTCCGAGCCTCCACTTAGTTCCCAGTACCCCTCGTCGCGTCCGGTCCGAAGACCGGAAGCACCGCGGGATTGCCTGGCTTCAAACTGAAGTGCGTTACAATAATCCAGCCGCAATGTGACCAGGGCACGAATGACTGTTTCAAAGTGAATGCCATCTTTCGCCTTCTTCAAATCAAAATCCATCTGTCAAGGTAAAGATGAGCACATTATTTATGGCAGGCGTCAGGCGGGTTCATCCTATAAACTGCAGATTTAAAAAAAAACAAAAGATTTGTCAAGCTTCTGGAGTGGCCAGCGGCCCCGTGCACATTGATTGGACAAGGGGGTCCTCGGGCCAAAGTCTGGACACCCCTGGTTTGCTGTGTCGGCCTATCGTCATGCCGACCAAAGTGCCAGTCTTCGTGTCAAGTGGGCTGAAGCATGGGTCGAATGGCCTTGTGGGTCCTCAAGGGCCTTTTTCATCCACAAGTCAAATGCCATCAGGCGTTTTTTGCGGGGTTTGTTTTGCTTAACTCTTGCCACCAAAAGTTCCCTTCCCAACTTTTTCCTGCCCTCTCACCAGCTGGAGGCGTCTCTGAGAGTGGTCGGCTTGGCGCCCTCTTTCTCCAATTCATGCAGCGACACAGTGAGTACTGATGGTGAATTGTTGGGATGTGATGATCAGAGCGATAGATTTCTTGTCTGTAGTTCGGTCAAGTCAACCCACCCATTTATGAGGGGCAATAGGACCGACCACTGCCGCTCCTCGTCAAAATCCACCACAACAGGAGGGTCGTAATTGCGCGTAGATGCTTCTAAAGCGTGGTTAATCACTTGCGCCAGCGCCATACGTCTCGAACGTGCACACCTCTGAACCCATCTTCCATCAAAAACGGAATTTGGTAGGTCGATGATTCAACACAAACCAGCCACCTTCACATGAAGCTCTTCAATGGTGTGAGCTGGCCTGAGTAACACGCGAGCGCAAACTGTCGTGGCACCACGCACGGGCAAACAAATCTGCGCACCAAAAACAGTTTCTTAAAATTGAATTTTGCATTTAATTTTGTTGAAATTCTTTTTCTTGCGCTTTGTGATTTCATGACTTTTGCTTTGTTGACAGGAGCGTGGCCTGACTCCGCCTCAAATTCCTCGCAGGGGTCCACGACGCTGTCCCGACATGTCGCCCACTTCTAGGAAGAGACAGACGGAAAGATTTGCCAGAATATGCGCCACTCGCTTGGACGACGACGATGATTAGCACGCGGTACAGAGCAATGTGTGTTTTGATGTATAGAAATGGAGGAAGGGGGGGCGCTATAAAGTAAGTGTCATAGTTTGTATTTTTCTAAATAAATATTTTCCATTGATTCAGTGTCGTCACAAGAACAGACTTATGACATTGCACACGGTTGTATGAATTCAAATAGTTGCACAGGTGACGCGGCTCATTTGCACGGGGCGTTTGCATGCCTGCGCGCGCACACCCACACGACTGCACAAGCGTCCGTCGGTTTCGTCTTTCTGTAACAGCGTCACGCTTTGCCACCCCCTGTATGGCCGAAGGCGAGAAACCGGCACGCACCTTTCTTAGCACTCCCTTTTCCTCCCGACAGACACGTGAAGTAGTTTGGATGTGGCTCCAGCTGGTGCCGGGTTGTTTTTGTACTTAAGCGCAGGTTGGTCCTCGGCCAGGCGTTTTCTTTTTTTTTTTTCGCCATGGTCAGCGGGGGAGGTTCTTCCGACTTTAACCCGTCGGTGCCCGTCAAAATCTTTTCGGCTGGGGCGGCCGGCTGCGTGTCCGACCTGGTCACCTTCCCGCTGGACACGGCCAAAGTTCGACTGCAGGTGAGCGGCGGGCCCAAAGCGCTTTTTGGGTTTGGTTTGGTTTGGTTTTCCTTTGTAGATTTACTTGAATGATCATCATTCTCCATGTTTGGAGGAGGAAAAAAAAACCTAACGAAATAGCCAGGTATAAAGGAGGCCGCCACATTTGGTCTTAGGTCTCGAGTCGCCGTTCCCGTTGCGAGGGTTCTGCATGTTCGTCGTTGCGTGTGGGCACAGCCTGGTGGTGAAATTTGACGCCATAAATGTCAATGCAGCAACTCCGCTGCTGATGCTCCAAGGTCCTTCTCTACGTTCCCACTTAGCAGCATGTGCAGCTGATCCGAGGTAGAGCGTGCCTTCTTATCTGCCGTGTTTTCATCCTCCTCTTAGATTCAGGGCGAATCGGAGCCCTTGGTGAGAGGCCAGAGAGCCACGTACAGGGGCGTGTTCGGCACCATGTTCACCATCGTAAGGACGGAGGGCGCCAGGGGCCTCTACAACGGACTGCTGGCCGGCCTGCACAGACAGATGAGCTTCGCCTCGGTGCGCGTGGGCCTGTACGACGCCACCAAGCAGTTCTACGGCAGGGGCTCGGAGAGTAAGCGGAAGGTGGTCGGCCTGCTGCGGGGCAACATTGTGGCTCGTGTTGACTCAAACGGCGTGGCCCACCGTGCTTTACTGCCGCAGGCCTTCCTCGACAAGTTACTGTATGTCAACCTATAGAGAAAATGTGTTGACAGCTGTTGCCAGTCAGACCAGCTCGACAGCTCCCACTATAGGAAGCAGCTCTTTCGCCCACTCCTCATTTTACTGATGCAGAGGAAAAGCCGTTTTATCAACAACGCCCAGAAACGCCGCCGCCGGCTTCTCTCAGCCCGAGCTCGTCAAAAGATGGACTGAGACAAAGTGGAAAAGTGTTTTGCGGTCTGACGAGGCCACACTTCAATTGTGGACGTTGTGTCCTCCTGGCCAAGGAGAAAAAGAAGCCTCCGGATTGTTCTGGACACAAAGTTCAAAATTAGCCAGCATACGTGATGGACGGGGGTTGTGTCCGTGCACAACTAATGCTGAACACTACATACGGTTTTGGAAAAACGTGCTGCCATCCAAGCAATGTCTTTGTCATACACTCCCCCACTTCTTTCAGCTAGATAATGCCAAAGCATTTTCTGCAGTTGTTCCTATAGCATGCCCCCCCCTGCCAATTCAAACCCAATGTTGACTTTGAATTGCTCTCACTGCTTTCTGCCGGTTTCACAGGCCCCAGCATTGCGACGCGGTTGGCGGCGGGCTGCACCACGGGAGCCATGGCGGTGGCGGTGGCCCAGCCCACCGACGTGGTGAAAGTCCGCTTCCAGGCGCAGGTGCGATTGCTCCGGGGCGGTGCGGCGACCAGGTACGGCGGCACCTTGGACGCCTACAGGACCATCGCCAGGGACGAGGGGCTCCGAGGCCTGTGGAAAGGTAATGGTGGCCACGGATGCATTCTCCTGAAATGGGACGTGTGGTGGGCGGGGGGCGCGTCTTTGCGACTTATCTCTAATGTGATCCATTTCATCTTTAAACGGCCTCGACTTTGTGATGAGGTGATAAGTTATCACGTTAGAGTGTGATCATTTTCATTTCAGCCTTCAGCCCAGTCCCGTCGCTTCGTCAGGCAGAGACAGAATAACATAGAAACAGAACTTGTCGTCACCAATGAATTTTCGTGCCAACCAAGTGCTTTTGGATCCTCTTCCCGAGGCACGCGCGATAATCTTTCGCGTCATCTTCGTGGTCGGGCGAATCCACGCGTTGGAGTTGACTGCGGCGTCGTGTGCAGGTTGTCTGCCAAACATCGCTCGCAACGCCATCGTGAATTGCTGCGAGACGGTCACCTATGATGTCATCAAGGAGCGCATCCTGCAGTACGAGCTGATGGCGGGCAAGTAGAAGTTTATGTGCGCTTGCGTCACCAGAAGAGGCTGACGCTCGCGTACGCGCGAGTCCCAACAATCGTGTCTGCGATCACGTGTTGGTCGGAAGGTCCCTTGTGTTCCGCACGCTGCCACCATGGCATTTCTCTGCACCCCCTCCGTCGCAGACAACATGCCGTGCCACTTCACGGCCGCCTTCGGCGCCGGCTTCTGCGCCGCCGTGGCGGCGTCTCCGGTGGACGTGATCAAAACGCGCTACATGAACTCCGCGCCGGGCCAGTACGGCGGCGCCATCCACTGTGCCTTCACCATGCTGCTCAAGGAGGGGCCCGCCGCCTTCTATAAGGGGTACGTGCCGGATGAATCCTCAGCTAATCGATGTACCGGCAGTGAAAAGAGTACAAATGTCACATCAGAAGACCGAGGATTTATTTTTTTTTCCTTCTTCTAGATTCATGGCGTCCTTCCTACGCCTGGGCTCGTGGAACATCGTTATGTTCATGAGCTACGAGCAAATTAAAAGAGGTGCGGCAAGATTGCACAAGTCCGTGCAGTCTTCGTTTTAAGCCGTCTGGCAAGGTTGCGCCTTTGTATCCTTCTTAAAATGGACGTGGACCGAAACGTTTGCAAGATTTGTTGTGTGCGGCTCCGCTCGTCTAAACGCGGCATTCTGATGAAAGGCCAATCCCGGATCACCGGTTTTCTGACTTGAGCAACCGCTCGCCTCGTATCCCCCAAACGCAATGCAGCGGTGACCGCAAAGACAATTTTGGGGCTCGACTCCCCCCTTTGCAGAGAGCGCGGTTCGACTCCAGTACAAGTACAGGCCACGGGAAAAGGCCTTTGGCTCTGACCTCTGCTGGAGGCTTTTCATGCGGCTCGCTTCGCATTCTTTCATTCGGCCCGTTGAGCGCTCACCAAATGAGAAATACGCTCGTTTTTCTCTTCAAACTTCTTAGTTGAAAATGTATTTCTTCAAGTTTGTATTCACTAATGTTATGCAAAGCAGAGTAGAAATACAGAGGAAAAAAATGCAGTATTTGATTGTACTGATGTAATGTCATTATAGATAGCTTAATTAAAATGAATGATCGAAATTTGACACATTTTAACTTGATTGTGACCTCACCACCCATGACTGGCCATCTGTTCATTTTGATCGTTTTTATACTTTGGTCTTTGAGCACAAACATTTGTGACTCCCACAGCTTTACTGTCCTTTTTTTGCTTGCAAAAGTTTGCCCCTCGCACACCTTGACACTTTTTTTTTTCTTGGTTCCTTCCTTCCGTGGCTTTCATGTGCTTCATGCAAAAGCATTTTGACACATTTTGAATATGGCAATACATTCCATTTGGTTTTACTATACCCAATGCAATTTCATGAGTACAAACAACTCGACGAACAATACCAACAAACCAAAAAAGAGAGAAAATAAATCAGCATATCATCGATGGCTGAATTTGGGAACCAAAATTGGGTTCTGGCCTTGCTGCATTTTGTCCCAAAAATGTGAAGCCATGTGCATATGTCATTTTTTCCATCTACTTGTGAATGTGCAACTGCTAATGTGTGATTTTCTTTTTTTCTGTTATCAATAAATGATGACAGGGGCTGACCATATGTGAAGATTGGCGGGCGTTGGGCTCATCAGCCCAATCAACAGGCTTCACGTAACTCTTGCAACAAGTTGGGGGGGGCCACTGTGCTCCGAGTTTAAAAAGATTTATTCTGGCGCATGGCGGAAGAAGTGGAATCAGCGCCACCAAGCTCGAAGGCAGCAATGAACTAAAACAGACTCACGGGAATGGGAATGTCATGAGTCGAGCCGTCCCTGACTCGGGATTCATTCCATCAAAAATGCGTCCAAACAGGATTCAGAACTCCCTTTTCATCCATTTGTTGTGCCGCGATGGCTTTTTTTTTTTTTAGTCGTGTCAAATGCTGGAAGTAGGTGAGAGCGTCGGTCGCGCTTGGTCCCGCGGCGTCATGTCGGGGCCTTTGGAAGCGCTCAGCCGCGCGCTAAATGCGGCGCGGGCTAATCCCGTTAAACGACCGTCGACCGCCGCCTCTTCGCGATTAGCGTCGCGCGCGCGCGCGCGGACACGAAAGGCGCACCGAGACCTCGTCGGCTCGCTCAAGGCCGCGAAGGACGCCGCGCGCTGGGCCCACCCGGACCGATCGTCGCCCTCTTCGGTGAGCAGCTCGCGGCCGGACATTCGGGTGGAGTCGGGCTCCGCGCTTCACCGAGCAGCCTTTTTAACGCGCAAACAAAGCTGCGACTTAGTCGAAGAAACGCGCCTGCCTTTTCGACGGCGTTGATTTATCGGTGTCAATCGTCAGCCGCGCCTGGGTACGAGCACGTTGGCTTTGCCGGCGAGGGTGTTGATCCCTCGTCGCTTCTTCTTCCCGTTGTTGTTGTCGCTGCTGCGTAAGAAGCTTTGCGGAGGTCGGCGCTCGTCTTTTTCCTGCGCTCAAATCCACTCGGTTGTCTGAAAAGCAAAGCGGACCAAAACTGGTTCAATGTCACGTTCACGTGTGATGGATTTGTGGTTTCCCTTTTTAGCCCAATTTAAAAACGGCGCGAGGAGGGAATGAAGCTGAGACGAGCTTCCGGTGCCTTCACCTCCACTGAACCTCGACGCACGAATTAGACTCATGCAGAGGAATGGCAGAGCAAATCCAAAATGGAGCTTCCCGTGACAATGACAGCGAATCAGCTCAAAGAGGAAAATTGAGGGCTGTCGGGGACTGTTTCAAGACTTCAGGACAATATTGTGCTCAAATAGGTCCGAGTCAGTCCAAGCTTTAGCGGGAAAAAAAAGGTTTTCTTGTGATTCATCACACTTTGTCACGTGATCATCGAGACATGGCAACGAGATACCATTCAAATGTGGTCAAGCCGGGTCATTTTCTGCGCTTCTGACCAAGCAAAGGGGGTTTAGGGCTTCCAAGGGGGCTTCCTCGCCCACGTGAGGTCGTCAAACCTGAATTGGGCCTTTCAGAGGCGCGTGACAGGCCTGGTCTGGGCTTCCACGGGAGGCCGTTAAGTAGGCATGTGGTTTCAGTGTCCTGTTTCCAGCCCGGGTTCGGGTTTCAGAGGAGAGGACCAAACCGGGGTTAGGGTTTGAAGCGGAGTTTCACGTCAGGGTTTCCAAGTGGCGTTCCAGCCCGGGCTTGGCCTTCAAAACATGTTTCAAAACTCACTTAGGATTTTGAGCACGGCTTTCGGGGTGGCGGTTTGAATCACGGGTTAAGGCTTTCAAGTCAGGTTCCGCGCGGTGGTCCGAAGCCAAATCCAACGTTCGGGTTTCCGACCTTGCACCGCTTCCGATTTTCAAGGCGGCCAACGAGACGCCTCGTTCCCATCGGCCGAGCGGCCATGAGTGCCACCTGAGCGCCCGGCGCCGCCCCGAAGTCATCATGAGCGTGATGAGCGAGGACCCCGACGCCGAGCACCGCGGCGAGCTGGCCGACGTGCTGGCGGCCATGAGCGTCAAGGCGGCGCCCGACGCCGCCTCCCGCCGGGCCCGCCTCTCCGACAGGAAGCTGTCGCTGCAGGAGCGCGGCGGCCGCGTGGTCAGGCAGCCCACCGTCGAGACCAAGAGGGTGTCCATCACTGACGCGCAGGTAAGGAATTTTCTATTTTCGCTCCACATTTCAGTGACAGCCTTCGTTTTTCGCCCTTAATGGGGAGCAGAACCCCCCCGCGAAAGGTGAAAACCGCTCATTTTCACGTCTGTGGGTACCAGCAAATATGTCAACACAATTTATACTTGACATATTTGAGACAAAGATGCCAGCGGAGACACGTATTGTCTTCAATCTTGAATGATCAAAACTTCTCGGGTCATTGGCATACCTCAAGATTGAAGAGGCTGGTGGCGGCGGCGTCGACGGCGCCTCTCACTTGAGTCGTCCAGGTTTTCGCTGCACTCGAGACTCTTCTGCCGGAGGCGCTGACCCGTGTGGCTGAGGTTTTGAAATTGGAGAAAAACACGGCAATGGGGGGGCCCCATGACCTTTATGACCTCCATCTTCTGAGTAGTCGAGATAGGTTGAAGGTTTCTTAGTTGATCAGGCAACGCTCTTTTGTCGTGTGAAGAAAAAAGAACCCGATGGAGCCGAGCGTTTCGGCCGTCACTTCAGCCTGAGCCGTCAGCGCTCCCTTTTGTCCGGCCGATCGGGTCGGGAGGCCTTGAAAAGAAGGCTTCTCGAGCCAATCTTTTTATGAAAGCGAGAGCCGACGTGGGACGACTCGGGCGATTTGACGTTCTCGGTCGCTTCATTTGAAAGGCGGCGCCAGCGAAAGAGCCCGAAGGACTGAATTGTTGTTGCTTTTTTTTCCGCTTTCCAGGACTTTGTGCAGCTCAACCAGTACAAGCTGAAGAAGGAGATCGGAAAGGTAGGCGGCGGGCTTGCTTTGTCGCCGAGTGAGCGGGACCGCTCGATGCGCGCCGGCCATCAATGGCTGGGATTCGGCGAAGAATCGCCATGACGCTGATGTGTGATGTGCTGCTTTTTCCACACTGTAGGGCTCTTACGGTGTGGTCAAGCTGGCTTACAATGAAGACTCTGAACAGTATTATGTAAGTGGGTGCATGCTTCTGATCCAACATTTTCACTTTTTTTTTCCATTTCATCATTGCAGAATTTATTTTAAGTCTCTCTCTCTCTCTCTCTCTAGATAGGTCGAGAAATAGGTAGCCAAACTTGTTTTTTCACTTGATGGCTTTATTGATGCTTTGTTTTTGTTTCTGTTTTTGTTTGACTGGATTCCATTCAGGCCATGAAGGTTGTTTCCAAGAAGAAGCTCATGAAGCAGTTTGGTTTTCTGCGTGAGTCTTTCATGTAGAATGAATTTATCGAGCATGTTTTTTTTGATGAAGAATGGTGACTTTTGCAAAAGTTGAATTCCTCCAGCCGAAGAACAGTTGTCTTATTTTTTTTAAAAAAAAGGGATTTTTCCAATAGAATGTTTTTTGAATGTTGTTTTTTTTTTTTTTTTTAACCTGACAAAAATGGATGCATTTTTTTTTTCATGAATAGTTGCAGTGTTTTTGCGTTTAGAATATATCTATTAAAAATATTAGAAATAAATATATATTTGACTTTATTTTTTTGGGCATTTTTTTAAAAATTAGTCCATTTTTTTTTTTTTAAAAAACCTTTGGATTTTTTTCCAGCGGTTTTCTGGATTTTTGTTATTTATTTAGTTAGTTGGGGGGAGGGAGAAAATGTTGATAGTCAGAATTGTTCTTTTTTTGTACATGTACAAAAAGGTTAATTTTTTAAAAATGTGTTTATGTAGCCTGAATTTATAGTAAGCGTAAACCCCAAACTGCAGCAAAAGGTAAATTTGTGAAGGTTTTGGTCCTGTCTTGTGAAGCAGCACGTGGCTCGTAAGCGGCGTGGTGGTGTGTCGCTTGACTTTTGTCGGGGTCACTTCAGGTCGCGCGGCGCCGGGCCAGCAGGAGGCCTTCCCCAAAGCTTCCATGCCGCTGGAGAAGATCTACCGGGAGATCGCCATCCTCAAGAAGCTGGACCACCACAACGTGGTCAAGCTGGTGGAGGTCGGTCTCACTGCCTCACGCCCCAAAATCAAATTGTCACGAAGAAAAACGGCGCCGCAATGTTAAAAAAAACAAAAAAAATGAAACGAGGAGAAATTGTCCTGTCACAGAGCCACCTCGTGATTGCAAGCAGACAATTGTTGAGCTTGTGAACACGTCTTTATCTTGAAGTTGGTTTGAAGTGTGACGTGAGCCGCCGCCGCCGCCGCGTTGTCCAATTTCTTGCACAATGACCGCCGGTCTACTTGCAGGTGCTGGACGATCCCGATGAAGACGGCCTACACATGGGTAGCAACTTCTTTTCCATTTCAATGTTGTTTTCGCAAGGCTTCCAAGAGTCAACTCTTTTTTTTTTTTTCCTCTCACTCTAGCGTTCGAGCTGATGACCAAAGGGTACGTCGGCTTACTTTTCAACAGCCACTTGTGGTGCGATATGCGATTGTGAGATGCCTGACTTTTTTGTTGTTGTTTTTTTGGGCGGGGGGGGGGGGGCAGCCCGGTGATGGAAGTGCCCACGGACGAGCCCCTGACAGAAGAGCGAGCTCGCTTTTACTTCCGAGACCTCGTGCTGGGCATGGAGTATCGTACGTTGGCGCAGCGTCTTCAGTCACCCCGAAGCCCCCAAACGTCGGGGTGAATTTTATTTCAAATTGAACATTTGAAATGGAGCGCTAACCGGACTCCCCGGTGCGTTTGCCAGTGCACTACCACAAAATCATCCACCGGGACATCAAACCGTCCAACCTGCTGCTGGGCGACGACGGCCACGTCAAGATCGCCGACTTCGGCGTCAGCAACGAGTTCGAGGGGGCCGACGCGCTGCTGTCCGGCACGGCCGGCACCCCGGCCTTCATGGCGCCCGAGACCATGGAGGACCACCGCCCCGAATTCAGCGGAAAGGTTTCGCCGCCGCCGTCGCCGCCAAAACCCAAACGCTCGCCCAAAACCGCAGCGTCTCTTGCTTGCAGGCGCTGGATGTGTGGGCCATGGGGGTGACGCTCTACTGCTTTGTCTACGGGAAGGTAACACGCGCTGTGTGCACGCGGAGGCGTGCGTGCACGTTTGGAGGAGTGTGTGTGTGTTTGTGCGGTTCCGTGTGTGTGTTTGAGTGCGCATCGGTGTCTGAACGCGCGTGTGACGTGTCGTCCGGCAGTGTCCGTTTTATGACGAGTACGTGGTCTCCCTGTACAACAAGATCAAGAACAAACCTGTGGAATTTCCCCAAACGTGAGTACGCCAGTCGTGCCTTTCAATATGCTCCGTCGCGGTCGGGGAGTTCTCGCGGTGTTGACCGTTGCCCTTTGTGCTTTGCGCAGGCCCGGGACAAGCGACGCGCTACGACATCTCGTCGGCAACATGCTGGACAAAAACCCACAGAGCAGAATCACGCTCCCAAGCATCAAAGTGAGTCGCGCGCACGCTCGACGTCGGCCAAGGACGCGCTCCGCTACTCACGGAGGAGGGATGGGGGGGGGGCGCGCTCATCCGCGTGCGCATTTGTGCGTCGCCAGCTCCACCCGTGGGTGACGGAGTACGGCGCGTGCCCGCTCCCCCTGGAGGAGGATCACTGCACGGCGCTGGAGGTGAGCGCCGAGGAGGTCGAGAACAGCGTGACGCTGATCTCCAGCCTCTCGACGGTGGTGAGTCACTCTCGCATCTCCCGTGTCGACGCGCATCGTCCTCGCCGCTCGGCCGTTCCCACGGGGGGTTTCGATTCCTTTTGAAAGCCGGACACCCCGTTGGTGTCCAAATTGTAAAAAGTGACCAAAATGGACATCCGTGACTTTCACGGGACAGCAACAATCGGTCTCAAATGGGTCCTTGTTCATTTGTGGGGTTAGTCACGTCTTCCAAAGTCCTTTGCCGCTCTGCTCCACAGATCCTGGTGAAGTCCATGCTCCGCAAGCGCTCCTTCAGCAACCCCTTCGAGTGTCCGGCCCGACGGGCCCACAGGTCCATGTCTGCCCCCGGTGGGCTTCTCACGTAAGTGCGGCCGGACAACTTTGGAGAAAGGTCAACTTTGTGTCATATCCCAAACAACAATGCTTGATTTGGCGATTGGGGGGTGTTGGGGGGCGGGGTTGTCGTCGTCGGCGCAAACGTAGCCGATGAACGGCGTATGTGTCTCTTGCAGCGGTTGTTGGGGTCTGTTGGGTTCGTCGGCTCCGCTCCATCCGTCTCTGAGGTAATCGTTCCTCTCCTCCTCTTCTTCTTTGGTGTGGAGTCGCGGCTTTCCTCCAGCGGCGACTTTTCCACCTCATCCCCAAATGTGCATTTCCCCCCCCGTCCTCAACTTGTCCCGCTCCCACCCAAGTCCTGGTCCACAACTTGTCACGCTCGTGCTCAACTTTAGTTCACGCCCAACTGGGTTTGGGTCGTTGCCGTTCTCGGCTTCCTCCAGTCATCCTGAACAACAACCGCAACAAAAAAAAGGAGGGCGGAGGGGCTCCCCCGCCCCCAATCCACGCCACTGATCCTCATTCCCAACTAGATATTTGCACCCTAAACTTTGTCCTCATTGTCACCCCCAAATTCCCCCTGCCAGGCCTTTCGCCCTCGCCGCTCAACCTCTTCTCCCCTTTTGTGTCAAAATCCGAAATCCCGTCAGGAAGAGCAGCCGAGATGGCAGCCGCGACGGCGAACTGGAGGACTTGTACGAAGACGAGGCGTTCGCTGAGTGCTCTGACGCCGCCCAGACCTGAGGCCGACCCGAGGCCGCCCTTGTTTTGTTTTTAGTTTCTTTTCTTCTTTCCGCTTTGTGTTCCCATGGCTACGCACGTAGCTCGGGAGACGAGCGGCGTAGGGCACACGCCAATATTCCAATCGACGGCATTGTTATAAAAGGCTCCGCAAAGAATACTGGTTCCCAATTTGCCTCCGAGAATAAAAAGACGTCCGCCCACCCGATGGCGCTCGTGTGTTTTCTCGTCTTGACCACTAGACGGCGGTGTTTGACTCTCTGCTGCAAATCATTTTTCGCCACAGAGCAAGTGGGAGTGGATGCAATTACTGAGGAAAAATCAAACAGGCGATGACTCTGAGAGAGAATTTTGAAAATATTTTGACGATTTATGTTGAATCGTCCGTTAACGTTGACGGTGTGGCTCATTGTGTTGTCTGTACTGCACACGCTCTGCTCCACTGATTCGAAGATGTACAGTACACGATGCTCTGGAAGTCTCTGTTGCGTTCTGCTGCTGCTGCACCGAGAGGGAACATTTCTGTGGAAACGGTTGCCATGCAACAGCACAAAAAAATACCTCGGCGCTAGTCCGCGCTCGCAACTTTGCATTTTTCGCCACAGAGCAAGTGGGAGTGGATGCAATTACTGAGGAAAAATCAAACAGGCGATGACTCTGAGAGAGAATTTTGAAAATATTTTGACGATTTATGTTGAATCGTCCGTTAACGTTGACGGTGTGGCTCATTGTGTTGTCTGTACTGCACACGCTCTGCTCCACTGATTCGAAGATGTACAGTACACGATGCTCTGGAAGTCTCTGTTGCGTTCTGCTGCTGCTGCACCGAGAGGGAACATTTCTGTGGAAACGGTTGCCATGCAACAGCACAAAAAATACCTCGCAACTACGCTGTGAGACTCCTGGTTTTTGTTTTTGTTTTTTTTTTTTGGTAGGGGGCACTTCCCCGGGCACACGCCACGCTCACCGGCTCTCCTGTATTTTTCAAGACAACCTCAGCCCTCCCGTGTGGCTGCTTTCCGTTGAGTTTGGACCAAAACGACTTGTGCCACACATACTCACACACACACATTGCAACATTCTTTTTGTTTGACGTCTACACACTCGGGAAATGTTTCCCTCGACATATCCGGTTGAGTCTTGTGGTCGATTTTGCGCATCAGTCATTACTGTAAACAGCAATTCAAATGTTTTTTTGTTTTTTTTTTAAGCATCAAGTCAGCAGTGTCTCGAACAAAAGAATCATAGCGCCCACAAAATATTAGACTCGAGGTCTTCGTTCATTTTTTTTTTTTTTTAACTGGGGCAGGTTGGAAAGGGAATCCAACCCGCACCCGGCAGGCGCAGGCCCGCTCCCTCTCCCTCCTAACCGCTGCGCCACCCGGTGAGGACACTCCTCGCTCTCGTGCCGCCACCGCCGCTGCTGCTTTGTATGAATAATAGAGAGCGTAAAAAGGCAGTATTATTAATGGATGCGGCCGAGGTCTTTGCGCGCTTTACGTCACGCCGCCGCATAACGCCATGAAAGCCAGAAGAGGAAAAAGGGGGGAAAAAAAAACCCCCAACAAAGTTTGCACTGCAAAATGCATGGAGCGGGCCTTTTTACATCCATCAGTTTGGGGGAGAGAGGCCGTCAATCACGCGGATGTTTTTGGTGAACTTCCTGTCTCCGCGCATAGTATTTTTAGCCACGTCTTGCCTTTTTGTTTCATACTCCTTTAGCACCTTCCCGCTGATGTCACGCTAATATATTTCTGGAATTCTTCTCCGACTTCCTTTCAAGTGCGCAGACAGTCGTTTTATTCTCTTCTTTTCGGCCTTATACGCCGAGACTAGCTAGCTAGCCTTTGCCCATCAGAGAAATGTTGACGCTGACATGAGTGTTGTCAAGTGGCTCATTAGCTAACGTAGCTAGCATCTAGCGAGCTAGCTATCCCCCTCTGTCTATCTGTAGCTAAAGTGAAACACACGAATGACTGAAGTACAGAGAAAGTCCATTCTTCCACTTGGCGGGACCCGAATCAGATTCTAATGCCGATGTGTTTGCCCTGTGTGGCAGGTATCAGATGTGGGTTGGGGTTTTTTTTGGGTGGTGGTGTTGAAATCCAACCGATGCAGGCCTCTTTCGTATGCGGATAAAAGTGTGATGTGCGTCCAGCGCAACTGCCGTCTTGACACTCAGATCGTGCTCATTGGACCCGCACGACATGAAAAGGTAAAAAATCTCGCAATTTCAAAGCTGACATGCGCGCAAAGCAGTGTCGGATGAAGGAGCGGAAAAGAGTCAGCGGCAAAAGATGGTTTACAACTGATGAATACGTGGCGGGGACCGCTCAGTTCAAGCACAAAATCCTTCAACTTGCATCCGTCCGTCCATCCCTTTTCTGAAGCGCTTTCTCCTCAGGAGGGTCGGGGGGCCGTCTTCGGGCAGAGGGCGGGGACGCCCTGTGCCGCTTGCCAGCCAATCGCGATCCTTGAACTTGAGGGCTTTCTTGTCAACGACAACATGAAAAGACTGGATTCAACAAAAAGCGACCATTTCAAAAGTTGTGTCAAAGACGATTTCCTCGAGATTTTGTGCGGCATATTCCAATTCGGAAGAATCGCCCATACTGGACCGCGAAGTGGAGCTTATCGGTGACACGTTCCGTCACGTGCTCGCGATGTCATCAAAATGGTGTATTAGAGCATGAAAACTCAGCCTGGTGCTGAAGCCGAAAGCCATTTCTCCCCCCCCCCCACCCCCCTGCCTTCCTTACAGGATGCAAAAGGTGTCAGCTCAGTCCAGGAGCAGCGAGGGTCCTTTTTATAGCCCCAGCAACAGCCGGCTGATTGGCTCCCGCGCCTGGACGACCTCTCGGCGATTGGCTGGCCGGCCCAAGCGCTCCAAGTGCACAATTTCATCCGCTGAGAATGTTCAGTGCGGCAAGAGAGGCTGCGATGAAACAAAAGGGAAAGATAGAGCCAGGGAGGGGAGGGGAGAGACGGCCTCGGCTTGCCCATCGCTGTGAAGCCACAAAAAAAGAAAAAAAAATATGCCGCCGCCCACAAACGCACCTTTTGCTTTGAAAAATGGATTATTGCATTCGAATCATTCAAATAATTGTACACACAACTAATAAATGTGTCCCCTTTTTCTACAATACATTTAGAATTCAACATTTGGCTCCCAAAAAGAATAAATACCCTTTTTCAATAAGTCATCAATGGGAAAAAAAATGATTTCAAGCTACATCCTAGTTCTATTTTAGAAATATTCAAAAAAATAAATACAAATGTACAACCACACACTGGAAACGGTGCTTTGATCAGCCAGTCATCAGCCTTTTGGTTTTGTTTTTTTATTCATCATCGCTAATATTTTTGTTTCTTGTGCAAGTGCTACATCATGACTCACATTCAAGATTGATTTTTTTTTTTTTTTTTTTGTGGTCACACGGGAAAACAGCGCGAGAGAAAGAAAGACGGTCGAAAAACAAACCAATCAAATCCAATGCGGTCCAAACACGTTCGTCAAGGCGCAGAAATAATCCACAAATTAAAAAAAGGTGTTCAAATACTGCTCGGTGTCATAATCTCTTCCCCCCCCCCCCCCATGCGACAAACACCAGCTGGCGACATTGAAAGTGAACACTGGTGAGGTTCTAGGATGCTTTTTTTTTCCCCCCTCTCGCTTCTTTTTTCCATCGGTGAATGAAATACACAAATTGCATGTCACTCAAGCAACGCCCGGTAGTACTCTTTTCAATTCTTTCTTTTTTTTTTTTTAAATGATCACCACGAGAGAAAATAAGAAAGGAAAAGAAAGAAACAAATAAATTAGACAGAGGGCTGCATTTTTTTTCTTCCTCATTCATATGAATACTGAACATCCACAGTATACATGAAGTGAATCAAGTCAAGTTAGCGATAGAAATACATCAACAGCATGCACAATATTGAATATTCTCATTATGCTTTGTCATCATCATCATCATCGTACACTGAAGAAACAGTATAGTAGCAGTAGTAGTAATAGTAGCAGTAGCAGTAGTAGGTAAGTGCATTTCATGAAACAAACCACAAAGCTGCTTTGTTATTATTTTTTTTTTACATTTGCTGCAAAAAGAATTCATGACACAGTTGACTGGCGTGTGCTATTTTTTTTTTTTGTCATATTTTATATTATTTTGTTGCAAATTTGGGCCGGGTCATTGGTTGCTTGTTGACTTTTTGGAGCTGGGGCGACCGACTGAGACTGAAAAATACAGCAATGGCGTTTGGCATCATTCCTGGGCTGGGACTACTTCCTGGAACGTAGCGGTATGCTAGCACAAAATGAAATACATTTGTTTCTACTTCCTGGAGCAGACCGGTGCGTGATTTTTCTTTCGGAAAAAAAACATAAAATCAATCACTAAAATATCAGCTAGTTTGGAGTCATTCAGGAACTTTGTGAATTTTCCTCCATTTGAAGCACTCGCCAGCCTTGTGATGCAAACTAACGAGTCGCTTTTATCCCACATTCTGGCTTGGGACGACTTCCTCAAACTTAAAAGTGTTGTCACACAAATGAGCGGGTTTTTGAAAATGCTTTCTTATCCTCTTTTTTTTTAAATCCTGAAAAGGGAAATGCCACTTTTGGTTTGTCACACTGTGTGCGTGGGGACGACTATGCGGGACGAGTACTGTACTTGAAAAGAAAAAAAGTCTACTTTGTTGAAAATCCATCCCAGTGAACGCGGGCCGTGACTTTCCCTCGGGCCGGGGCGACTTCTGGAATCAGGTGGAGTCATGACGCAAACGAACGAGGTTGGTTGACCCCCGCTTTGGGGTGGCAACTCCTTCCCGGAAGCGAGCAGCTTGGTGATGCGCGAGCAACTCATCGGATAAGAAAACACATCAAATGGAAGCGGCGTGCCCGGACGGACCGGGAGCGAGCGCGACGTGGCCGTTTGGACCCGACGACGAACTCTGATTGGCAGACGAGTGTTTTCGAGCGGCGCAAAGAAAATCAACAAAGTGGAGGAGACGCTTTCCACCACACATAGAATTCTCTCTCTCTCTTTCTTGATTCATGTTTAAATATTGTTCGATAAAGACCCTTTCCTAACGTTTGTAAACAACAGGGTACTTCCGGGTGGGAGAAAGTCGGATGCCTCCTGCTGAGCAAAACTTAAAAAACAATGACCCGAAAATGCGTCCCCGATGAGGTTGAGCGACTTCCCCCTTTGGTGCATAAAAGTCGAAAGGATTCGTCGCTGCTTCGGCGGCTCCATCAGCAGCTTTGTGGAGGCCATTCGCTCACGGGTACGGGACGTCGAAAAAAGGTTCGGTGGGCCGGCTATGTTTGCGGGAAGCTAGCGGTCGCTACGTCACAAGAGCACGGACAAGTCAATTGGTTCGCCACCTCAACAACTCTCACCTTGTGCCAAAATCGGAACATCTTTTTTGCACATTTGAGAAGGGGGCTAAAATCGGCACTCGACCCGCTTTGGCCCGGGGGTCAAAATGATTTCTCGACGGTCTCGTTTTGGATGAGAGCGCTTGAGCTTTTGCCACCCGGAAGTACGTCATGCTGAAAAGGGTTTTTTTTTCTTTTTCTTTTTTTGAAACTAACGCTCACCTCCGTTCTTCACCGGAAACACATGGAAAAATATACAGTACAATGGCTGCTGCGCGAGCGGGGTCGGCAAAAAGCGGCTGCCAAAGTCCACCGGCCCCTTTTTTGTTTTTTTTCCCTCTCCTCTCCTCCCCTCACCTCGTCCCGCCACGATCCTTTTTTTTCCGTCGCCTCGGCGCTTCAGTTGTTGCCCTCCCCGCCCTCGTCGTCCTGCTGGTCGCTGGTCCACAGAGTCAAGTTGTCGCGCAGCAGCTGCATGATGAGCGTGGAGTCTTTGTAGGAGTCCTCGTTGAGGGTGTCCAGCTCGGCGATGGCGTCGTCGAAGGCCGTCTTGGCCAGGTGGCACGCCTGCTCCGGCGCGTTCTGGATCTCGTAGTAAAAGACGGAGTAGTTGAGGGCCAGGCCCAGCCGGATGGGGTGGGTGGGCTGCATGTGCTCCTTGCTGATCTCGTGCGCCTCGTTGTAGGCCTTCTCCGACGACTCCACCACGGCGGCGCGCTTCTCGCCGGTGGCCACCTCGGCCAGGTAGCGGTAGTAGTCGCCCTTCATCTTCAGGTAGAACACTTTGCTCTCGTGCTGCGTCTCGCCGCAGTTCTTGACCAGGAAGTCGTCCAGGAGGTTGAGGACGTCCTGGCACACCGCCTCCAGCTCCTTCTCGATCTTCTCGCGGTAGGCCCGCACCATCTCGATCTTCTTCTCGTTGCCGTCGGCCGACGTCTTCTGCTCGATGCTGGAGATGACGCGCCACGACGAGCGCCGGGCGCCCACCACGTTCTTGTAGGCCACCGACAGCAGGTTGCGCTCTTCGTTGGACAGCGCCTCGTTCAGCTCCGTCACCTGAGGCGGAAGGGACACGCGGTGGGGGGGGGGCGTCAGTCCCGGCCGTCGACGTCGGCCCGACGAAGCGCCGGGCGACCTTGGAGGTGACGGAGGCCTGCGCGAATGCCCGACGACGGGCCCGTCGCGGTCGTCTCCGGAGACGTTTGGCCGCCCTCGCCTCGGACCGTCGGATCAGCGTCACGATAACCTGACGTTTTGACGTCTTTGGCAAAATGTGGACGCGGAGCGCCCGGTGATGTTTCCGCGCGTCTCGCGGGATCAAGAGCTGGCTTGCTTGTAAGCGTGCGCTCCCCTTGGCCCGTTTCCACTCGAGTCATGTTCAAAACTGCTTGACTGGCGGTTGGGGAGGGAGCGCCGCCCGCCCGTCTGCAAATGACTGAAACGTCGCCGTGTGAGCGCTGCGGGCAGCTGCGCTGGAAATGAAAACCCGGCGGCCACACGCCCTGACCTTAGTCAAGGCTAAAATTGATTCTTTTTTTGTTTTTTGAACTGGGCAAGTGACATCATTTGTTAACCCTTGAGAGTGCCTTTAAATAGCCGCACCGGCACCTCCTCTAAAAATCGGCTTGAAAACGTGATCCGGACTTTCTTTTCTTTTCATGGAGCCAAGGAAGGGGGAAGACTTTTGACCCACGACAAGTTGTCTGATTTGATGACTCGAAACGGTCTCGCGGCGTCCCGTCGGGGCCTCCGCGGCTTGTTTTCTCACTTCCATTTGGGCTGGTGTCCTATTTTGGGACTATAAATGTACTCGTCCTAAATGTTGACAGAAATATATCCCGCCCGTCCCTGACGTCACGGCTCAAAATAGCCACATTTGGCAAGCTACAAGTCGCAAGGGTGTTATTTTAGAACCCAAAACTGAAAGGCGATCTTTATGACTTCAAATGATCGCCTCCATCTTCTTTTCAAACTTCCAACGCTACGATTCTTCATTTTATGCCTGTTAAAATGTGAACGACCTTCAAATGTTTTAGCTTCATGTTTTTGCGCGGCCCTGTCCTGTATGATGACTCAAAATGGTCCTTAGTGAAAGATTTTTTTAATTTTTTTGAATCCAGTAACTTGTTACCTAGAGGTAGGACTAAAAATGCTTCCGGGTCTTTTTTTTTTTTTTAACTTTGACTCTAACTTGTAATCGGTCCAGCTGGTTATTTGGAGACCTCAACGCCAACGTCGGGCCCTGTTCTTGACTCGGGGACTTGAAATGTTCCTGTGCACTTATTTCATGGCTTCAATTCTCCCGTTTTCTTATTCTGTGACTTCTCGTGGTGTTGTTCTTTCACTTTTTCTCCTAAAATGTTCCACGTCCTTTTTTTGATGACATGGTATATGACATAGGATCGTCCCGTGCCTTGTCGTATGATTTCAAAGGGTTCAATTCCTTTATTCGATGATGACAACATGTTATCTTGAGGCCGCCATTTTTCATCTTGTGTGACCACCAGTGTGCCTTAAAATGCTCCAGTGCCTTATTTTATGGTATTTAACAGCTTAAATCGTCCAGTGTCGTATTGAATAACTTCAAATTACTGAGGTGCGACTGACCGTCACTCCTGCCGGCGATGGCGAGGGATTCTCTTTGATTAGGGAGTGTCACGTACGCAGACATCCTTGTGTTGAAGATCTGATATCGAGGTGGTGATTGCACATTTTCGACGCCCTCCTTTTCATGAGCCATCGAACGGATCCTGTGCCCGTCCTCTGTTTTCACTGTTGCTAACATGACACAGCGGTTTCTTCCTCTACGCACTGCAAGGCAACATGATCTTATCGTCTCGTATTGGTGGCACTGCAATATGACAAAACGAATATTCCAGAAGGCTTCTTCTTCTACTACTGCCTCCTACGTCTGCGTGGAGCGAAAGTGCACCCCCCCACACACACACACACACACACACACCTCCCCTGCCCATCCGCCCTCCGTTGCTACTCATCTGAATAAGAGCTCCTTTTCTAAAACAGCTTTTAGAAATCATTACATTCATTCTAAGACAATGAGGGGGAGGAAGGGCGGGTGGGCAAGAGCAACTTCACGTGCCCCCCCCAAGCGAGTAGTCACTCGTTGGGGGTGGCTTTAAATGGAACCCCTTTGGGAGATGATGGGACATGAAATGGCAGAGAAAGCACGCCGATAAAGAAATAAACCAAGACGGCGGAGGAGCGTGACGCGGGCCCGCTCGCGTGGTCCGAAAGGCACCGCCCAAAAGGAGCCGGTGCGTCCATCGCTAGACGCATATAAAAGCAAAATCACCGAAGGTGACAAGACGAAGGGTGTGGCCTTGACGACCTCTCGTCGCAAGTGTCCTCTCGGTGAAACAAATCGCAAGAATTCAAAAGGAGCCATTCGAAGCCATCCTGGCGGGGGGCCGCCGACGGTTCGGATGACCTCATGATTGAAAGGCACTCACCGATTTCATGGCGGCCGCCATGTCGTCATACCTCTCAGCCTGCTCGGCCAGCCTGGCTTTCTGCACCAGCTGCTCGCGGTCGACCATCTTTGGACCAATGGACAGGCTGTCGTCCGAGGAGTTTGCCTTCGTGCGGATTTTTAGGAGGTGCCGCTCTGTTGTCGGGGAGGGAGGAGGCTGTTACCGGCGCCGCGCCGCTCGCCTGGAGATTTTGGCGGGGTTGGGGATGCGGGGGGGGGTTGTTTCAAATATCGCGAATTGTCTTTTATGCGTGTCTTTTCCCCCCCACTTCAGTTAAATTCGCAATGCGGTGAAAATCCGACGGCAAGTGAACGCTGCAGCTGCTGTCTCCTCGTCTCTCTCTCTCTCTCTCTCTCCCGCACCCTCGTTTACGTCATCCCTCATCCCGAAAGGTGGTGGTGGTGCCAATGATGTAATAGTCGTGGCCGCCTGCGCTCAAGGCATTATGGGTAATGGAGTTCAGCGCCTCAACTTGTTTGGGCATTGGGGTAGAGGAAGCGTGGCATTGTGGGTAATGGAGCTCTGATCCACCCTTCGCGAGATGGATAGATTGGAAGCAATGAAATTCAGTGTCGCATCAGTTTGACCCACGTGCAAGAGAAACATCGCCATCGTGTGGCCAACCTGAGGAGTGCACAAGGATGTTTGCAGGGATTTACATATTCAATCTCCGTAATAATCGATGATGGTAAATAGTGACATTATTTTCATCATTTTGACCGAATTTCACGCGAAAATATACACACACACACACACACACACACACACACACACACACACACACACACATATATATATACTTTATATATATGAAATTGTAATTTAGCAAATATTGAACTGTTTGGTTGGCTTCAACAAATACAGCAAATTCATTTTGATGAATAACTGTTCTAATAAAAGCTTTACTCTAAAACTAAATGACAAGCAACAACGGTGACACACACACACACACACACACACACACACACACACACACACGTCCTTATTAGCCGTCAAGCTTAGCTTGTGAAAGGTCAGGAGAGGAAGTGTTGTCTTGACTTGAAGTGGGTCAAGTCGTCATGGGGCGAGGAGCCAAGTCTGGCTAAGAATACGGATGGAGGGATGAACTGGCATGTGGCTCCTCAGCCAAGTTTATATTTGGGAAACAATTTTATGTTGGTGACCGATCACACGTCGGCTTGGATTTTAGGAGCACACTTGTCATATTAGTTAAAAAAAAACCCGACTGTATACAGCATTATTTGCAACTGCAAAATGCTTTTCCTCCTCTTTCTTGCAAGGATGAAACTAGAAGGACAACTGTGGGCGTTTCAATTGTTTGTTAGCGATCCGCAAGTGTGACATCAGTGGGAAACCTTGCTGACGACATTCATTTACACTTACATAAGTTCTCCCCTTGTTTTCAGGACCAACAATTGGTCGGTGAGCGCAGGTTCAGATATTCCGTGCTGGCAACTCATGGCTGGCGTTTCCTTTCCAGCGAGACAATAATGTGACTGCTTTGTGCGCAACTTGTCATGCAATTTCTCCCCGCTCGCTCCAAAAGACCTCCTGGTGTTTCCGAGCAAAGAGCTGCAGGTGAAAGCGGCCGCAGGAGCAGGAATCGCAGCCTGCATCGGGCGCCACAGCGGATGCAATTTCTCCCCAAGTCTTGCCGCGGGAAGAAGACAGCCGTGTCGTTACATGTGCACTTTGTCCAGGTGGGGGTGGCGCTCACGCAAAGAGGATCAGCGTAGGGTGAGGCTTTGCTCCGTGACCGTCCCCGCCGAGGGCGATGAGGACGGGGGATTTTTTTTTGCCCTCCCCGTCCACCCCCGCCGCCATGTCGCCCAACCCGGACACGGCGGCGGAGGAGCTGCCCTTTGTGCCGGGCCAGATCATCAAGGTCAGCGTCAGCCCAACTCTCCCTCTGTTCCTGACAGATTGATATCTCCAGATGTCTGTAGATGGAGGGCCAACTTCAGAGTAGTTTTGCATGAGTGGAACCGTGAGCGCACACAGACAGGCAGCAAAGTTTTTATATTGATACAAGTTGGTTGTGAGGGTTATGGGTTAGTTCCAGCTCGGTTTGGCTTGGTTTTTGGTGTCAAGGTTGGAGTTACATTGTGCTGTTTAAGTGTTCCTTTTGTTTTTTTCTGAGCAGTTTCTATCGACACACGCGCGCAATAATGTTTTTTTTTTATCTTGAGAAGTCTGCTGTACGTGTGCGCAACCTGTCAGGTATTTGGAGACAAGGACTCGGACGGCTTTTATCGCGGCGAATCGGGCGGCCTGTCGGGTTACGTCGCCAGTAACCTGGTGGCCGAAGTCCCCGTGGACGACCACTACCTCAAGCACTTGCTCATGCGGCAAGGTTTCATCCCCGTCGACCAAACAGGTATTGGCTTTTGTCCGCTTGCCCTTTTTGCGCCGGTCGCTCGTCTCTTCACGTGGCACGTCCTCCCCGCGTGTGTACTCGGGTTTCCTCCCGCATTCCGAAAAAAAACATTCACGGCAGGTCGACGGAACACTCGGAATGGTTCCTCGGCGCGATTGTGAGCGCGAGGGCTCGTTTGTCCGGCACACGCGTGACTCGAGACTCATTTTTGACGGCGCCATCGACCGGACTGAAGTGTAAGCGTCCGCTTGCGTATCCATCGTTTGTGCAGGAATGTCTTGGAGTATCGACACGAGCGATGACTCCAGTGTTCCCGAAGACGCCATCGTACGTCGCATGGTGGCCTTGTTCGACTACGACCCGTGGGAAAGTTCGCCCAACGTCGACAGCGATGTAAGCGATGAACAACCGCGACGACACAAAATGCAGCATGAGTTCGACTACGACCCGTGGGAAAGTTCGCCCAACGCCGACAGCGATGTAAGGAACAACAGCAACGACACAAAACGGCACCGCGGGCCATTTCAGCATGACCTCGCACCAACTTCCGGGTGTCGCTCTGCATCGGCACGTTAGCGGTGGACACCTCCCAAATCAAATCAAATCAATGCAGGAAAATCGATACGCGCTCGGCGATCCGATTTCAAGACCGGTTCATTCATTGCATACCAAAGCGAAACCAATTTTCCGATTCAAATGGTCCATCTTTACCGCAGGCCGAACTGGGCTTTCGTTCGGGTGACATCATCTACGTGCTCGGCGACATGGATCCCGACGGCTTCTACTATGTAAATCTCGGTCTTCTTCTTCTTCTATTTGCTGATTTCTTTGTCGCTCACACACTTTCTTTTTTATCAGGGCGATCTGCAAGGACGGCGGGGCTTGGTGCCGTCCAACTTTCTTCAGCCGCTACCGTGGGATTAGAATAGGAATTGTCCTCCTGTGCTATGTCGGCGTCCAATCAAGAGACCACAGCCAAATGATGCCTTTCTCTGATATGTTGGAGTAAAAGGACAAAAAATGTCCTTTTTTTTTTTTTTTTTAGTCTCTCAATTTTTTTCCAAAACTGTATTATATCATAAGTAATATGAGCAAAATATTCAATTATTTGGCTAGCCTTAAGGTTGGCGGTCGGGTGTGGTGTTGGGATTTCTGTTTTTTTTTGCTAATACATAATGTACACAAGATATTTCCGTTCAGCTCATGAGTCCCGGTGGTGCTTGGATGTGCGAGGAAGGAAAGGAGGCCATGACGCTGCAGATTAGCTCAACGCTTGCATCACGGCCCGTCTATTCTTGCACAATTGGATTACAGTACAGTATATCCAAAGTGGTCCTGTTCCTGAGTGTGTGTGTGTGTGTGTGTGTGTGTGTGTGTGTGTGTGTGTCTCTCTTTCTCTCGCTCTCTCTCATTCTTCAAATGGACTGTGAATGGGGGCTGTTTTAAGTGTCTCGATGTGTATTCATAAAGCACTTGGTCATGCTTTGTTTTGGGGGATTCGTTTATTCATGTAAGTTTCATTGATGGTACAGGTAAGATGTTAGTGCGAATCTAGAAAACAAAACATCGTCGTCGTTGCAAAACCACAAATAAATGTTGTGAAAAGGAAATGGACCATTTCGATACTGGTTGACGGTGCCGCTATGCAAACGGCTGATCTGAAGTGAAAAGTGTGTGTGTGGTTACTCCGTCAGAGAAAACTCCAAAGCCCGATTTTTTTTTTTCCTTTTCCTTTCATCGACTTGTACCGTAAGGCCGCGATGCTCCCCGTTCATCTTTTGTCGACTCGAAGGTTCTCGACTTCCCGGCAAAGAAGCTTCGACATTCTGTCACAGTTGGGGACTGCTGCCACCCAGTGGACATCGGTGTAGCTGCAACTTTTTCATCTTTCAGTCATTCACGATGGGAGTCAGTTCTTTGCACGTTCGTTCATTCGTCACTCAATTGATTATTTTTATTGATTTATTAGCGCTTCAGTTTCTTTGGAGATTTGTCGACGGGGCTTTTTTTTGCAGTGGTCTGTCTCTTCGTGTTCTTTTTCCAGAGCTGCATCGCGTCCATCACAATCCTGTTTTTTTTTTTCCACGTGTCGCGTGTTTCTCTCGGAGTGCCGCCGGTCGCTAATGCAGCAGCAGCAGCAGCGGCAGCAGCAGCAGGCCGAGAGCCGGGCCGGGCGAAGCGGCCGCCGGGCCTCCGGAGCGAGACACCCGCCTTCCGTTCCGAGGCTGCACGGGCCGGAACGTGTTCACCATCGGCCTCCCGCTGGAGAAGGCGAGCTGCGAGAAGGCGGACAGCTGCCGAGCGGACACAAACGTCAGAAAGCGTCGGAGGGGCCCTTCCGCGATGACGTCACGTGCAGGCGACTTCCGGCTCCTTTGGCGGCAGCAGCCACCGAGAGCACCATTGGACAACTTTTTTGAGCTGCTCCTATGAACCGCTTCCGTAACTTTTTGCTTGTGCAATGAAAGACTTGTTTCCCCTCAAAATATTACCAGCTGAATTTCCTACTCTTCCGAATACACTTTCTTGTTTGAAAACATCCTGTTGCTAAGCGATCGCCTTCACCTGTTGCCTGCTGAGGGGGACGGCCTTTTCAAAGAGGGTCCAGACGACAGCCTGGGCGCAGTCGGGTGTGGTGAGGGAGCCGTCGTAGCGGAAATACCGGCTCATGTCGGCGGGGGCCGGAAGGAACATTTGCAGGGAGATGCCCCGCACCGTCGTTTTGTTGGCTGCTCAAAAAAAAAACAAAAAAACAGCATCACATGAATAGTGCTAACTCTTATTGTACAATGGGCCGAGTCGAAGGTCGAATCCCGCGTCATACATTTTGTTCCTCAGCAAGGTCGCGGAGGCAATTGGCGTCCCACGCTTCATCGCAGCGAATGCCTTTTCACGAAAAATCTGGGCGTCCTAATGACGTTTTATGTTACAAAGGTGTCGTGGCGTCAACTCGGGACTTCGAAATGTGAACGTTATAGCGGTGGAAACGTCGTAAACGGGGTAGGCTGAAAAGCGGCTCGACCGTATTTCGGCGGCGGTCTCTTGAGGGTCGTGGAAACGGCGAGCGCAGTCGGAGTGGCCGCGACGCGACTCCTCATCTCGGCAGCGTGCACCATACCCAGATTGACGTTCTTGACTGGAAACGATCAGGAAACGACACGTCACTTCTGTGATTTATGAGACGCGACGGGAGTTGGCGCCGCGGTCTTATCGTTTCACCAATTGTACTTTGGCATGCAACCGACTCGCACGGTTGTAGTAAAGTCATGCTCTTCAAGTTCTCATCTGGACTTTTGCAGAAAGATACACTTTGGCACCTGCACGCGTGCAAGACGCCGCCCGTCTCGCAGGCAACTTACACGGGCGCGGGATTCTCCTCAGAGCTTTTATGAGCGCATCAAACTTCTTGTTGGCGGAATTTGATTCCTGAAACACAAGTGGATTCAAAACACAATTTTAGTTCTGTCAGTTGTTAAAACCGGCAGTGCGGCCGTGGAAAGAAATCGGGAGACCCCTTTTCTGATTTTTTGGGGTTCAATGGTAAATACTGCTGTTGCGTCAATTCGTGATGAAAATCGAATCCTTTCAAAGAATTCTTCAGTCGTGAGATCCTTTGTCTTTCACGAAGCTCCCGTATAAAACGAATCCAAAGAATGAACCGTCAAGGAACAAGTGCCGAAGCTTTTTGGATTTGCAAGGATCGAAATGCAACGTTTGATCATTCCCTTTCATTGGCGTACCACAAGGCTCTGTTGCGGAGCCACTTTTTGTCCATCCGTACGCATTCCAATCCGTTCGTCTCGGAACGGGTCGACATCTATCCGATGGATCCGGATCGATTGGGCGGCGGCGATTATTATGTCGGATTACCTGGAAGAAGAAGCCGAGAACAGCCACGCCCGCCGGCTCGCTCACGGCCCGTGACAGAGAGCTGTATTGTTCCTTGATGTGCACAAGGTGCATCTGGAGGAGGAAAGTGGGACCGCATGGACTTTCTCGGAACTTTGTTTGAGGGCGGACGAAGCGTTACCTCCATTGGATAACGCTCTCCATCGATCGTGTGCTCCGAGCCCGGCCCGCCGTCGCCGCCCCAGTGGAAGTGGAGCTGAAGTGCTTTGTAGGTTCCCGGCAGATTTCCTCCTTTGATTTGCATCCCGGCGGGCAAGTCCATTTGCGCTGCAATCGAGACAAAATATCAACAAAACTCGCATTGATTCAGAGAAAATGACGTCAGCCTTACCCAATAAACCAATAAACCAAAGACAATAAGAGAAACAACAACTGTTGCCGCTCATTTGATGGTTTGGTTTTTCATATTGCTTTTTTTAAGATTACGTTGAAAAAAAAACTAATCTTTTCATGGCAATAAGAGGGCTTCTGTCTGCACAAGTACAAAAATATTCCTGCAAAATCACATTTTTTCGGTGATTCATGACTTTCATTCAGCCTGCGTTATTTCGCAATTTTGTCAGATGTGATTTCAAGATTCCATTTTGGTGGGAAAATATATTGTGTATTTGTTTTAAAAAAAATGTAATTTTCTTGACATATTTTTTTGATAGATTTTTTTTTGTTTGTTTTAATACGGGAAACTTAATGTGAAGGAGAACATTTCAGTTGAACTAATGTCTCAAATCTAATACATTGAGTAAGTCGAGTTACTTTGTAAGTCGACGAGCAAAGTGCTGCATTTGTTCAAGGCAAAAAAGTTGAAAGAATGTGACTGGAGAAGAAAGTCATTTTGTCCTACTGCGACACGCCAGCTCCTGAATTTCATCATCATGCGACTTTGCTCCGGCGGCGGCGCCGCACCTGTGTGGCCGTTGTTGGAGAGGTTTCCTTGAAAAGCTCCTTGATAGCCCACAAGGTGCAGCGGAGTGAGGCGCTGGTCGGCTACGACGTTCCCGGTGACGATGTTGACCGGCGACTGCGACCTGCCGCCGCATTGCGGGAAAATCACCCCCCACTCGTCGGGCCCTGCGAAGCGGAGACCACGCATGACGCGTGCCGCTCTCTGGAATCACGGCGCTCTTTTGAGTTTTACCTGAGCAGCTGGAATTGCAAGACACTTGGGACTGGTAGCACCAATCTAGAAAGCGGGCGTTCATTTCCCAATGACACAATCAAATATTGTTTTCTTTTGTTGTAATTGTCAGTCGGCGTAGCATGAAGATGAATATGCTCCTACCTGCCCCCGAGACCATCTCCAGGAAGGAAACAAACAAAAAGATCCACATTGCGAACGGGCTGACTGGCACGTGTTTTTTTTTTTTTTTTGGTCAAAGACATCAGATGAGCTGTCGTTCTTATAAGGTCGGGACCACCTGAGAGCGGCCCCCACCCCGCCTACTTTGCTTTTATGACACCTCATTTCAGATAGTGGGTGAACAATAACACGCACAAAAGATAAAAACATCCAATTACAGGCTGTGGACTCAAAGAACGCCCTATTTCAATCAGAGGTGGCGCTTTCGATTTGTCCGGAAAACACGGACGAGACATGGTTTTTTTTGGGAGGGGAGGGGGGGGAATACTGGATTTGACACCACAGTAAATGGAACTTCAGGGGTCACCAAAATCGGACCCCCCCCCAAAAATAACACACGAAGCACCGGAAGCCACGCGGCCAGTGCCAAGCCGTACGCGATGAAATGAAGGCAAAAGGCGGCGGCGGAAATAAAGGCTTTCCACTTCATTTCAGTTGTAAATGTCGGTCTGCGTTTCAAATCGCGTTTGCGCCCTGAGGGAACGCCACTCTTCCCATTATCAGTAGTCGTAAATCAATCTGTCTGTAAGGCACAAAGAGAAGACCGATGTGGATTATTTCAAAGCCACAATGTTCGACAGTGTTTGGCAGATCATTTCTGAAAATTACTCGGACTTCACGAGTACATTCATTTGCTTCATAACTCGTCATTTTTAGGTCGATTTTTGTTTTCTTTTATTTTAGCAAGGACAAAAAGAATGGTGAGCCCTGGCCAGCAGACAGGAGAAGGCTAGACTTCCGGTGTCTTTGGAAGACGCTGCCGCCCCCTGGTGGCAATATGTAGAAAGTGGCCGTTGAGCGACTGAGCCCGCTGTCTTGCCGCCATCCGCGTTGTCATCAAGTTTGACGGTGGCGCTTTCCCCTCCGAGCTTCGACGACAACCTCCAGGCGGACTTCGAATCTCACGTTTGGGACGTTCCAAGCAGCCACTGGCGTGATGCTGACCATCGCTTCCCACCTCGGCGTCGTCGTGCCAACAGCAATTGGCCAAATCCCAGCTCGTCTCTTTTGGCGCTCGCCGCTGCCACCGTCTGTGGTCCAGTGTTTCGACTAGCGATAACATATTCAACTTAGGCAGGTTGAGCGCGTGGCAACTAAGATTTTTGTTCTTTACATACAGGCAAACTATATTTAGAATCGACGTGTTTATACTGGATTACACGTTTGTGTTTGGACATCTCTAAATGTTCCTACTGCACTATACATCGTAGTTGGCGGCCATTTCTCTGGAAATGGTGACAACGAACGTGCGGATTCGTGATGTCTCTCAAGGTGCGTTAAAACTCGATTCCGGCGTAGTACTTTTTTGCTAGCCTCTCTTCATTTCTTTTGGGATACGCCTGCCTTCTAAATTCTGGCACGATGAGCTTAGTGGACAAAAATTCCTTTGCTGAAAACGCCTGAGCTCCTTGCCAAAGTAGACTCCCCCACCCCCCC